CCGGGCCACTCGCTACCTTCTCAATGTCCCTGGACCTGGTAGGTTGGGTCCAATGGGTCCAACCACCGACCCAATGCGTTGCATTGGGTCGGTGATTGCAGCCAGTTGTTTCGACTTCCCATTGAGGAGTGAGGACTGACCACCTCCTGAGTAAGTCCCTGTGTTTTTCCTTGTCTTTGGATAGTTGGCTCCGGGAAGCCGTAGGGGCTCCTACCAGAAAACCAGCATTGAATGTAATGAAACACCATTTTCTGAGTGAGTCCCGGAGGCTCCCCAGCATCCCTCCCTCCCTCCCTCTGGTTGGAGGTGTTTTTCGCGTGCTTTTGACATCCAGCTTAAGAACTGATGATTGGATTGCCGGCACGAGGATCTGCTGCTTCCCCTGCCCCCTCCCAGGTTGGGGTGGGTTACGCAGACAACCCCCCCATCCTCACCATAGAGGTTTCTATAGGCCATTGCTTCTCGTGCCTCTCTGAGGGGGGCCAGGTTCTGGCTCGTGGTCCCCAATAGGCCTATGACTCCATGCACATTGACTGATGCCAGAAAGCTAATAAATACATATCAGTCTGGATTGCTCCAGGGAGCCTCCGTGACTCACCCAGAAAGTGACATTTCATTACGTTCAACACTGGTTTTCTGTGGGGAGCCCCTACGGCTCCCTGGAGCTTATCGGGCTAATGTATGTTATATTAGACCGGGACATTAGCTAAGGAGTTCAGACCTACCAGGGACCAGCGCCAGAACCTGGCCCCTTCAGAGAGGTTTCAGGGAGCAATGGCCCTGGAAAACCCCTTTGTGGTTGGGGTTTTCCTTATCTGCCATCGACCGGGGTTAGGCACCCAGAAAGGTAGGCATAACAAAAACCCCACATGGTAAAAAAAAAAAAAACTAAACCAAAAACCGAACAGAGAGGTAGAAACTCCCTGCAATCACAAGGAAACAAGCAAACATCACACTTTACTGCTGCGCCGATCGTCCGTGCAGCCCTCCCCGCCCCGAGAGGGGGAGGGGGAGCCCCGGACCTGCCGCGCTGGCTGCCAAGCTTCAGTTCGTTCGCTAATGTCAACCGGGATAGACTCTTCTCTGGCCTCAGTTTCCTAGGCGGTGGTTGCCTTGTGTGGCTTTCACTGCCGTGTGTTGTGTTGTGCGGTGGCCAGGAGTACCTCATCAGTGCCGGGGCTGCATGTGCTTAGTGGCTGACTTCCCTAAGTGCCCTGTGAGTACTGCCCTTGCGTAACAGGGTTATCTTTCCTGGGGCGTTTGGGAACCGTTCCCGTAGAGATTCATGCTGCTCGTCATTTGCCTCGCCCTTGGGGCCAGCTGGGGCTTGGGGCCCTTGTTTGGCCCTGGGTAGGGATTGGTATTGTGCTGGTTAGGGCGTCAAGGTGTTGCACAGCCTGCCACCTAAGCGGCGGCCGGTTCCTGTTGCCTCTGGAGACGGTGTACTATTGCGGGGGTTTTCTTTTGTTTTTATTTTCATGCCTGGTGGGGGTCTGCCTAGTGTGGCTATAGTTCCACTGGTAGTGTTTGACGGCCCTCTGCTAGGCCCCCGTGATTGTACACGTCGCAGGGGTTTTCAGTGCTATACTCTACCCTCTTGTTATGTTTGGGTTTCTTAACCGGTTAGCAACACCTTGCCCGGGCTTCCCGTAGTTGTTACCCCTACGGGCCCTGGAAACCCCTGTCTGGGCTTGGGGGACCATTGAATGTGTCTTCCGGGTTCCAACCCATCTTGTACGCGATTGTTGGTTGCTGTGCCCTTGTCTCCGGGTGACAGTCGCCATTTTTACCCCTGTCATGCTGCCTGTTGGGTCACTGACACCTTAACCCGGATTCTTGCGAGAGATTCTCTGCTTGTTCTCCAGTACTCTCCTGATGTTATTACTGTTCAGAGTACAGGCGGCATCCGTGTTGCAAGCTAGGTTAGGTTGCTGCAACATGCTAGGTCGGTTTCCCACTCGGATGCCCCGAGGCCGCCCCGTTTGGTTAGGTGCTGTTCGCCCCTTTCCCTCCCTGTTCCCGGCTCCGGTCTGTCTGTGGGTTTTGGGGTCGGGGCGGGGTTTAGTTGGGGCAGAGACTCGGGCGGTTTTCGGGGGCTGCCCCATTTGGGCTGGGGGACGGAGGTTTTCGAGCCTGTTCCTCCTGCCAAGGCTTCTGGGTCTTACCAGCGGCCCTTTCTTGCTGCCTTTCCCATGGACTCTTGCTTTTCTTTAAGGGCGGAGGGCTTGGAGGACGGCTCTGCCCCGGGGCCTCTGTTGTTGGTTCCCGGGGCTGTGGGGGATGCCTGCTAGCAGTTCTGGGGCGGTTTGACCCTGCCTGGGTTTTCTGCTGTTGGGCGGCGTTTTTCGCCCATCCAGTCTGCTTGCTTTCCCCTTTTGCTTTCCCCTTTTGCTTTCCCCTTTTGCTGGCATGTTTTTGTATATTTAGCGTCAGTCACAGCCCCTGCTGGCTGCCATTTTCGTCTGCCGGTTTCCCAGCGTGGCCACCGGGGCGGCGTTGCGGTTTGTTTACATGCGACTGGGTGTGCGAGCGAGCGTCTCGGGTTTTTCAGGGGGTTTTCTTCTCCTGTTGTCGTTTCTTTGCTTTTCTGGTGTTTTCTGCCCGTTGCCTGTTCTTCTGGGAACGTTTGGGTGTTGATTTTACACCGGGTTTTCCAATTTTGTCTGTTTTGGGTATGGGCCACTCATTGTCTTTCCCTCCAGAAGTGTTACTGCGGCTGTGGTTCCGCCTTCGGCTGTACATGAGGGGGTCCCGGGTTGCTCAGCGGTTGCTTGAGCGGTTGTGCGGGAGTCTGAACTTCGCCGTGCTGGTCTGCCCGTGGAGCACAGTACGGTTCGGGAGTTTGTGGCTGTCTGGTTTGCGCTTCGGAGGGTTTGGGTCACTTGGTGCTCTGCCATTCAGCTCTGTTTGGACTGTTCTCTGGTGGTTCTTGCCAGAACCACAGGGGTTTGGCTAACCGTGAGGTTTATGTCTGGGGTGTGTCCTGCATCCTGGCGGACAGCTGTCTTGGTTCATTCCTCTCTTCGCGGATTGGCCAGTCGTCGCCAACTCATTTTGTTGGCTCTGTCGGACGTATGGACTCCTGGCCATGGACGTCTTCGAGTCAGCGTGGTCTAGGCATCGCCCATTTTATGTGGCGCCCTTTCCCACCTGCGAGGCATTCACGGTGGATGCTTTTCGGCAGGACTGGTCGAGGTGGGGGTACCTGTTCCTCTTCTCTCGGTCCAGTTGTTGCTTGGGGTTCTGGCTCGGTTGCAGCCCACTCGCACGAGAGCAGTCCTTATGGTTCCTTGGTGGCCGGCCCAGCCTTATTTTCAGACACTGCTTGATAGGTGTCCGAACCCGGGGCGTTTTCCCACGACTCCGCCTCCTTCGGCAGGTCGAATTGGTCCTGTACGTGACTGGTTCGGCCTTCTCCTCAGCTCTTCGCGTCTGGTATTTTGACGCAGGTTTCACCTTCTCTATGGTGTTCTGGTGGCTTTGTTGACGGTGTCCCACCTGCGAGCTTCGTCTTGGCGACAGTCTGACATTTTGTACGTTTTCTTGTGTTTTGTTTCGCCTCCGGCCTGCTCATGCGTTGCCTGAGCCGTCCTGGTCCTTGATCAGGGTGCCTTCTTATCTTCTCCTCAGTTTGTGGTAGCCCCTTTGGTTCAGGTTTCTGCTCTTTGGTACTGGTGGTAGATTTGTACGTGTGCAGCCTTTCCCCGTCCTGGCAACGGTAGAGTCGGCTGCTTTCCGGAGGGGTTCTTGGGGTATTGTTGCTTGATTGGTTTGGCCGGGGGTGCGTCCTGTGTTGTCCAGTTGTGTTTTTGCCGTTGCCAGCATACTGTGTCTGGGGATGCGCTGTGGTTGATCCAGTTCCCCTCGTTCCCTGTTTTCAGGGCTCGAGTCTCCCAGGTCGTCCGCAGATTTTTCATTCTTCCAGCCTGCGGTCTGTCTTTGCGCCCGTGCTGTTCAGACGTTTGCAGCTTTTGCTGCTGTGTTGGGACGTCTAGGGCTCATTTCGGGTGCATGGATTTGAAAGTCGCACAGGTTCTTGGCCGCCATTCTTTGTGCGTCTGCTCCTGTGCGTTCTTGTTGCCTTGGGTCGCAGGTTGCGACCTGTTGTCTCGGCTTTGCGTTGCAGAGTTTGTGGCGGCCGCCTCCCGGGTTAGCCCTTTCATTTCCTTCTCTTTGGGTATGAAGCTCCAGGGAGCCGTAGGGGCTTCCCACAGAAAACCAGCGTTGGATGTAATGAAACGCCATTTTCTGGGTGAGCCCTGGAGGCTCCCTGGCAACCCTCCCTCCCACCGGTCGGTGGTTTTTTCGCGTTGGTTGAAGCTTAGCTTCCGAACTGAAGCTTGGCAGCCGGCGCGGTAGGTCCAGGGCTCCCCCCTCCCCCTTTCGGGGCGGGGAGAGTTGGGCGGACGATCGGCGCGGCAGTAAAGTGTGATGTTTGCTTGTTTCCTTGTGATTGTAGGGAGTTTCTACCTCTCTGTTCGGTTTTTGGTTTAGTGTTTTTTTTTTTTTTTTTACCATGTGGGGTTTGTTTTGTTATGCCTACCTTTCAGGGTGCCTAACCCCGGTCGATGGCAGATAAGGAAAACCCCAACCACAAAGGGGTTTTCCAGGGCCATTGCTCCCTGAAATCTCTCTGAAGGGGCCAGGTTCTGGTGCTGGTCCCTGGTAGGTCTGAACTCCTTAGCTAATGTCCCGGTCTAATATAACATACATTAGCCCGATAAACTCCAGGGAGCCTCTGGGGCTCACCCAGAAAATGGCGTTTCATTACATTCAACGCTGGCTTTTTCTTCTATTTGTTCCTCTTATTATATATTGTCCAAGGCTTTTTTCTTCTGTATTTGTCATTATTATAAACATTGTGTCTTGACATTTTCAGTACTGTACTTTCTTTATTATTAATTGATAAATGGGAACTGATATTTGCAATATTGCTAAAGTTAATCATTGGTTATGTGCTTTTGCCAGCAATTATTAATTATTATAACAACCCTGCACAGGGAGAAACTGAAGTTGCAATTCAAGATAGAGTGGCCTTTGCTTGCACATATCTCAGTGACGTTCGTTTGATGGAGTATCTAGAGAGGTTGAATGCACAGCTCACTGAGGAAGGCAACTTGGATGGTATTTTACTGACAGGTAACGTCTGTATGTACAGTTATGTTTTCTTACAAAGACGATTAAACTGCACAAGTACTGTCTCCACTCGATCATCCGGACTATATGGGAAGGACCCCCAGCCTGATTATCACATTTTTCGGATAATGGTACTTTTTCATCTACGAGTCCAAAAGTGACCATTTCCAACTATTTTTATACTACAAACAACATAATTTGAATTGCCTTGCCACATATTATTATTAAATATTCAACTAGAAGCCTCAACTTACCATGTTTTTGTTGTTCGTCTTCTTGATTGATGCCACACATCTTGAAGTTAAGAATTCTTAACAATTTACGTAACCTATACTAACACAACACTAAAATTAACACTTAAAATTACTGTACAGTTCATTAAGCAAAGTTAGTTTTGACTGCCAGCTGCTGAAGCCTCACTGGTTGAAGGCATTTGGGTTGCCTGTGAGGCCTCACTTGTTGAAGGCGCTTGCATGTGCCTCACTTGTTGAAGGCGCTTGCATGCGCCTCACTTGTTGAAGGCGCTTGGCTTGCCTGTGACGCCTCACATGTAAAAGGCACTTGCTTGCGCTTCACTTTTTGAAGGCGCTTGGCTTGCCTGTGACGCCTCACTTGTTAAAGGCACTTGCTTGCGCCTCACTTTTTGAAGGCGCTTGGCTTGCCTGTGATGCCTCACTTGTTGAAGGCGCTTGCTTGCGCCTCACTTGTTGAAGGCGCTTGGCTTGCCTGTGATGCCTCACTTGTTGAAGGCGCTTGCTTGCACCTCACCTGTTGAAGGCGCTTGGCTTGCCTGTGACGCCTCACTTGTTAAAGGCGCTTGCTTGCGCCTCACTTGTTGAAGGTGCTTGGCTTGCCTGTGAAGCCTCACTTGTTGAAGGCATATGGCTGCCTGTGACGCCTCACTGGTTGAACAACACATAACTTGTCTTTAATTGCTAGGACAACCTTCTTCCTCTTAGCACCTCCAGGACGATTGATGCTGCTACCAGACATAGTCTTGGCCAAAAATGTTTAAAGTTACTATGAAAATAAAAAAGTTATGTAAAAAAATATTTCACTAATGGCGCAGCACTGTGACGCCGCGCTGGTTGAGGTGTATAACAGTAACTTGTCTTTAATTGCTAGGACAACTTTCTTCCTCTTAACACCTCCAGAACGATTGATGCTGCTACCAGACATAGTCTTGGCCAAAAATGTTTAAAGTTACTATGAAAATAAAAAAGTTATTTAAAAAAATATTTCACTAATGGGGCAGCACTGTGGTATAACACGAGCGATGGGGGCACATGGGTTGACCAGTGTTGGACGGGTTCACTTGGGGCAGCTATAGCACGTTACGTAGGCTGCCAGGAGGAAAAAACTCACAATATTTTTTTAAGGAAACTTCAGTCTGTGCACATTGCTTTTAGGAAACTTATTTATTTGTTATTACATAATTACTAGTACTTATTTCATTTGTTTTTGGCTATGATTATTTGTTCTAAAATTAATGGTAATTCCTGTACCCAGGTGGTCCCTCCCAACACCACCCACCCACCCCACCCTCTCCTCCACCATGCATCTAGAGCCACAGGCAGACGGGATTAATACAATACGGCCAAATTTTTATCCGGCCAAACCAGCTTTTATACGGTTCCTGTGGCCATTTTGGCCGGATATTGAGATAACTTTATCCAGTCACGATTTTGGCCGTATAAGGGCATTTTCCGGATGTTCAAATCCCAGATAATCGCGGGGTTATAGTACCTGTAGTTCTAGTTTATCTCCCAGATAGTAGCATTTTATGAATGCTGCTACTTGAACCCTGTATGGGTGGTCAACAATTGGAATGAACTAAAGGAAGAGGTTTTGGAAGCTATTTCCACCACAACTTTAGGGCCAGATTCAACAGAGAATTTGAACATCGGAATAGTTAAATTGTAATGCAACAAGTACAAGAAGGCCCGTAGGGGGGCATGAAGAGATAGACCTCACTCCTCCATAGACATTGACAGGTAAACACTGACAGGTAAGTACATTTACTATCTTTATTATTATTATTATTATTATTAGCACACAGAAATCACATTAATGTTATATATATATATATATATATATATATATATATATATATATATATATATATATATATATATATATATATGTATGTCGTACCTAGTAGCCAGAACGCACTTCTCGGCCTATTATGCAAGGCCCGATTTGCCTAATAAGCACAGTTTTCCTGACTTAATATATTTTCTCAAATTTTTTTCTTATGAAATGATAAAGCTACTCATTTCATTACGTATGAGGACAATTTTGTTTTATTGGAGTTAAAAATAACGTAGATATATGACCGAACCTAACCAACCCTACCTAACCTAACCTAACCTATCTCTATAGGTTAGGTTAGGTAGCCTAAAAAGTTAGGTTAGGTTAGGTTAGGTAGGTTAGGTAGTCGAAAAACAATTAATTCATGAAAACTTGGCTTATTAGGCAAATCGGGCCTTGCATAGTAGGCATAGAAGTGCGTTCTGGCTACTAGGTACGATATATATATATATATATATATATATATATATATATATATATATATATATATATATATATATATATATATATATATATATATATATATATATATATATATATATATGTCGTACCTAGTAGCCAGAACGCACTTCTCAGCCTACTATGCAAGGCCCGATTTGCCTAATAAGCCAAGTTTTCATGAATTAATTGTTTTTCGACTACCTAACCCACCTAACCTAACCTAACCTAACTTTTTCTGCTACCTAACCTAACCTAACCTATAAAGATAGGTTAGGTTAGGTTAGGTAGCGTTGGTTAGGTTCGGCCATATATCTACGTTAATTTTAACTCCAATAAAAAAAAATTGACTTCAAACACAATGAAATAGGTTGCTTTATCATTTCATAAGAAAAAAATGAGAGAAAATATATTAATTCAGGAAAACTTGGCTTATTAGGCAAATCGGGGCTTGCATAGTAGGCTCAGAAGTGCGTTCTGGCTACTAGGTACGACATATATATATATATATATATATATATATATATATATATATATATAATATATAATATATAATATAAATAAATGAGGAAGGTAAGAGATGGTACTCTACCACTGGACTACCTCTGACTTGTAAAGGTCATACAACTGGATTTCTACTAAAAATCACAGGAAGTCTGGAGGCCCCTACTGAAGCCAGTCCAAGTTTTTTATGTATGACCCACAAACACTCGGGTGGAAGGGTAAAGTGGTCCCACACCTTACATCCCAACTTCTGAAGTTGGGACATGTAGGACAGGACCAGAAAGTCATGTAGACCATAGAGATTACAGTTGTCAATAAGTACTTTAAGCTCTAAAGAAAACTAGAAATTAGTATAAGAAATTTTGGAGTCCAGTAGAGCAGCAATTTCAAAATGACATAGTAGCTAAGAGCAAAGGATTAGCCAAAAGCAATTGCATAAATACATATGGAAGGAAACACCAGTAAGAGATAATGTTATCAAATTGATAAGACAAGGAAGCATTTTGAAGAAGCAAAGTGTGTGAGGAGCTGAATAAAACATCCTAGAATGCATACAGAAATCACAATAACGTGATTGGAGCTGGTCGGCTGAGCAGACAGCACGCTGGGCTTGTGATCCTATGGTCCTGGGTTTGATCCCAGGCGCCGGCGAGAAACAATGGGCAGAGTTTCTTTCACCCTATGTCCCTGTTACCTAGCAGTAAAATAGGTACCTGGGTGTTAGTCAGCTGTCACGGGCTGCTTCCTGGGGGTGGAGGCATGGTCGAGGACCGGGCCACGGGGACACTAAAAAGCCCCGAAATCATCCCAAAATAACAAGATAGCGTAATATATCAAATAAATAAATCCTAGGATGTATATATATAAATGTATAGGATGTATACATTTTAATACACTATTTTAAAAAACCTAATGGAGACAATGGGCAGCCAAAAGCAGTACAGGGTATTAGACAGTGTAGAAGTCAGTGAAGAGGAGGTAAAAAGATGCCTTCAAAAATTTAGACATAATAAAAGCAGTAGAGCCAGATCAAGTAATACAATGGTTGCTCATGGAGGCTGTGGGAGTACCATTATGTTAACTAGGATTTTAAATATAACACATGAGATTGGAGAGCTTTTGGCAATCTGGAAAAAGGCAAATGTAGTCTCAGTATTCAAGAAAGAAGACAGACAGGAAGCACTAAACTACAGATTAATGCCAATAACTTGTGTTCCTTTGAAAATACTTTATTGACGAAAGTAATCATAAAGAAAATAGAGCACTTTGTGTAACAGAGGGACAACTCTCTTTTTCAAAAGGGAAAAATCTTGACTAACAAACTTGATACCTCTATGATGCTCATCAAGGTACAACAGGAAAAAGAAGGATGGCTTTATTACATTTTCCAAAACTGACATAATTCTTTTGATATGGTACTGTTCCTCAATAAAGGCCAGCATGTAAGATGAAAGATATAAGTTGGAATACTGTAACAGAAAGACACAACCTGGTAATGAAGAAGCTTTTGGAGAGGAAACAAAGGGTCAGAGCCAAGGCGTGCAAGGATGTAACAAGTGAGGTCCTGTAAAGCTTCACCAAAGGCTTATTGCTATTCCTAGTCCGTGTGAACCACCTAACTGAGGGAATGAGCTCATACATATCTGTTTTTCAGTGATGCTAAGCTAATGAGGAAAGTAAAAACTGAGAAAGGTGGTAAAGTTGTGTTGCACTTCAGCCTCATGAAGTGCAAGATAATAAATTTTTCCCATAAATATAGATTCATCCTTAAGGGGGCGGCTGGTTATTATAGTGAAAGTTGTTCAATGTCAACCAATATTAATTTTCTAGTTGTATATGAAAAGTGCTTAAATTGTCCCAAGTTTCAGTACTGCAGCGTAAATAGAAAGGGAGTTTTTTTTTTTTTTTTTTTCCAACGTTTTTTACGTATTTTCAAGTTCACACTTCAGAACACACGTTTCAGATATAATTATTCTGTGACACTTTTCTGACACATTAGCATATAATAAGGGATTTGGGGATTTAGAATTTCGAAAACATCTTTAGTTTTCCTAATACAAATGTTCAAAGTTCCCCCAAATTTTTTTGCAAATATGACATGTTTATTGCTATTATAAAATCAATAAATGAACTTAGAGAAAAATGAAAGCCCCCCAATGTAGAGACATGCCCTCCACATATACTGTGTAAGTTTCATGTAAATTGAATAAAAAAGGAATCAGTTTAGTAAACGTTTGTGTCAATTGAAAAAAAACAGAAATGAATAAAGTCTAAGGTTCTAAAATCTGTGGCTGAGGTTGACATCAACCAATTTTCTCCAAAATTGGCATCCTTACAGATAGGCTTACGTACAGTCAGGTGTGTAAGTTTGATGCAAATCGCCAAAAAAAAAAATATTAAAAAAAAAAAAAAAAATTTTTTTTTTTTTTTTCTTAAAATTTTTTTCCAATTAAACTAATTATAATATTTGTTTAATATATGCTATTGTGATAGCAAAGAGTCGTAGTTATGATTTCAGTTGACACTTTTGATTGATAATCGATTTTGACCATTTTTGCATAATTTTCACAACTACTTCAATATTTTTTTTCTCCCTTCCTATTTATGCTACGATGCTGAAACTTGGACCAGATGAAACACTTTTCATATAGAACTTGTCAAAAAAGTTTGATTGAAATCGAACGAGTTTTCATTTTTGCATTTTTGGACCCAGATGCCAACCAGACGCCCCCTTAAATCGGATCCTCTAATACGGAATGAAACATTTTACAGTGTTTTTCCCAAAACTTCTGACTTGCATGCAAGTATACACTGTGTGTATGTTATCTCTCTAATCTTGATTTTTTTTTAACCAATACTGACCTGTAATAACTTTATATTTACAGGTCTTTGTTCAGAAGGAATAGAATTACTCCAACGATATGTTGATCTAACTGGAGATGTACAGACAGTGGCACTTGTCACTATACACACACTCCAACAGGCTATTACCAAAGATTCTCGCCTTTATCATTGGGTCCATAGGTGAGTACACAATTTTCTTCTAATACCAGATTTGGTATTTGGGAGGTATCAAAATTCTCTCAAAAGGGCACATTTAGATACCATGTACTTACCACAGTACATGTATACAGTATACATGTAATTTAATTAGAAAGACTCTGTATAAGAACCAAAAATGTTTAAATATTGTTTACAGTTCAACAAATAATATTGAAACTTTGTGCTTGGTCAGATTACTTACCAGTTAACCCCATGTCAAGACACTCGCCCCTGGTATGGAAAACCCAGCTCAGTGAACAGCTATCGAGAGAGGTCTCGGAGCAAAAACAGACAGAAAGATTGAAAGATGTAGAGGGAAAATGGTACAGGGGAATCACAATAGCAGAGAAAACTACTATGGGTACACATGTAGAAGAAGTGGGCTGAGCACCCTATGAGCAGAGCAAATACCTGTATTATCAAAAAGAGGACAAGAATAGGTAAACACCTCTACAGGATGCAGAAGCTGCCAAGGTATAATCCAGAATCTAAAGATTGAGTCCAGCATGGAACAAGGCTTGAATAATAACTGACCAAAGCCAGCAAGGGCAGTAGCACAAGTGTCACAAGCAGGTGCATACACAAAGCCCACTGTAATGCCATTCAGTCACTTAACTCTTGAAAGCAACCTAAGGAACTCCATGAGAGTTATTGCACACCCCATCCAATACTTTAACTGAATAGGCACCAGTTAGCTTCACATGCATGGGAAAACTGCCAGAAGGGTGATGAACCCACCAAAAGCCAAGCTTTCAACAAACCACTGGCCCCACAATCACACAGTGCAGAAAACTAGGAGAAAAATGTGAGTAAACATTGAAGAGCTGACTCGATTCATTCCACTGTCCACGGAATGGATGGTCGACGCCGACTCCTCCTGTTGGCTCTGTTGGATGTACGGGCTCCCGGTTGTGGACCTCTTCGTGTTGGCGTAGTCCTGGCATCTTCTCGTGTATGTGGTGCCCTTCTCTTACTGCGAGGTCGTCATGGTGGGTGCTTTTTGGCAGGACTGATCGAGGTGGGGTTATCTATACAGTACCTCTTTCTTCCGGTCCAGCTGTTACTTTGGGTCCTGGCTCGGTTGGACACTTATCAGGGAAGAGTAGTCCTGTTGGCCCCTTGTGACCAGCCCAGCCCTGGTTTAAGGCGCTGCTTACTCTGTGTCTGAAACCCACAATGTTTTCTGCGGCTCCACCTCTTTCATTAGATCAGCCCAGTATGGTATGTGGCTAGTTCAATCTCCTCCAACCTTCACGTCTGATCTTTCTGACGCGGGTTTGTCACCTCTTGTATGGTGATCAGGTGGCTTCGTTGATGGTGTCCCACCTGCAAGCTTCGTCCCGGCGACAGTATGAAGTTTCCTGGTGCTCTTTGTCATTTTCTCTCCCTTCATAGGGTGTCCTCTATTTCGGATTGGGTTGTCTTGTTCTTTCTCTCTTGGCTTTTTCAGGACCGTTACTGTCACCTCGTATCGTGCGGTACTGGCAGAGCAGCTTCAGCTTGCGTTTGGGGTGGATGTTACTTCCACCCTATTCCGCAAGCTTTCTCGTGCTTTGTTTCACCTCCGGCCTGCTCATGCGCCGTCTGAGCCATGCTGGTCCTTGGACTGGGTGCTCTTTTTTTTTCTCTCTTCTCCTAGGTTTGTGGTGACCCCTTCAGTTCAGGATTGTTTTTCCAAGGTTCTTTTACCTGTTGGCATTGGCTTCTGGGGGTTTGATCGGGAGTTTTGTGTTCTCCTCCGGCGCAGAGGTTTCTGCTCCTTTGATTCTGGCGGTAGGTTTGTTCATTTGCAGCCATCTCCTTTTATAGCGAAGATTGAGTCGGCGGCTTTCCGGAGGGGTCCTTGGGTCATTGATGCTTGGTTGATCAGGCCGGGGGTGCATCATGTGTTGTGTCCGGTTGCGGTTCTTCGCCGTTTCCTGCACACCACAGCCTCTGTGGCCAGGGAAGCGCTTTGGGTTGACCCAGTTTCCCTCGTTCCCTGTTCCCAGGTCGTCCACAGGGTTATTCTGTCCAGCCAGCCTGCGGTCTATCTTCATTCCCATGATGTTGATAAGTATGCTGCTTTGGCTGCCGTCTTCGGTAACATGTTTTGGGCTGACATTCGGGCACCAGGATTTTGGAGATCGAATAGGGTCCTGGCTGCAAATTACTTAGTCAAGGTTCTTGGCACTAGTAGGGGGTTGTGTCGCTTTGGGTCGCAGGTTGCAGCCAGTTGTCGACTTAAGATGCGATTTGAGATGCGAGTGATGGCCGTCTCCCAGGTAAGTCGCTCTTGTTACTTTTCTTTGGTTAGGTGGCTCTGGGGACCATAAGGGCTTGCCACAGAAAAAGTGTTGAATGTAATGAAATGCCATTTTCTGAGTCAGCCCCGGAGGCTCCCAGTCATCCTCCCTCCCTCCAGTCGGCATTTGTTTTCTCATTTTTTGTTTTTATGTTCAGCCTCAGACCTGAATACTAGAGCAGTTGACATGGGGGTCCTGAGCACCCCTTCCCCCTCCCAGAGGAGAAGGGGCTGCTCGGCAGCATTAGTGACAATTGCCTGTTTGCTTGTTTTAGTTTGGGAGTTCTCCCTTTGTTTGGTTTTAGGTAGCAATTTTTACCATGTGGGGTTTGTTTTGTTATGCCTACCTTTCTGGGTGCTAAGCCCTGGTCGACAGCAGATATGGAATGCTTCCAAATACATTAGGGTTTCCATAGGCCATTGCTCCTCGTGCCTTTCTGGAGGAGGGGGGGGCCAGGTTCTGGCTTGTGGTCCCCAGTAGGCAAGAACTCCAATTGACTTATGCAACAGTCTAATACTGTACATACATATCAACCCAGTAAACTCCCGGGGCTCACCCAGAAAATGGCGTTTCATTACATTCAACGCTGTTTTATTTGGGTAATTAATGAGAAATGTTGCTTATTTTAATGTTTACACTTGAAGTATTGATGTAATTTTCTTATTTTTCAGTTATCGAAATCTGTTGGATAGTTTGTGTCTTTGGAACGAACGTGCCCAGTTGGACGTGATAATGAATGATAACAAACATGCAGAGAGACCACCTCAACATATTTATATTACTTGCAATTTTTGTAAAAAAGGTATTTCTGCATACATCCAAGCTCCAGGAAGACCAAGAAATCCATATGCTAGATTTGGTACTGGATCTGCTAATAAATCAAAGGTAAAACTGAAATACAATATTCTGCAAGGGCTGAACAGTAGCTCCCTGTTGCAAGCTGCACTGAGAACTCCTCACCTATAAATCACATCAGCTCTTGCAAATCCTTAAAAACTCACCATGGACCAGAGGCCAAAACCTAGGCCCACTTACAGAGGCAGAAAGAGCAGGTGATTCATGACTACCTCACTAAAGCATCAAACCCCTAGAAAGTAAGAGAAGCAAGACGGAACTGTAAGGTCCACAGAAAGTATAAAGAGTGCAGGAAATGGCTCTGCAAACAATCCACCCTATAATTAGGTTATGAATCCCTTAGTAACAGCTGCCTAACACCAGGTGGCAGTACCACGAAAGGTGCCAGTGCTCCCCTGTCAACAACCCTTTGTCATTCGCCTGATGTCAGCCACGTTTGACTGCTCCATGAGTTGCCGCTATTCAGGTCCTGGAATTTTTCTAGAAAAGTATTGGCCATCTTTTGATCTGTCCTGTTGAGACCTATTTACTAGTGTGTTGTTCCATTCTTTAGTATTGCTTCACATGTGTGTGTTTACATGTTTCATTGTATGGACCTAGGAAATTGTTCACTTCAAGCTGCATATAATTACCCAAGTGTAGTTACAGGATGAGAGCTACGCTTGTGATGTTCCGTCTTCCCAGTACTCTTTGTCGTGTAACGCTTTAAAACTACTGGCTGTTTTGGCCTCCTCCACCACCTCACTTAGCTTGTTCCAACCATTTATCACTGTTTACAAAAGAAAGCTTTCTAATATTTTTTGACATCTTTGTTTTCTTGGCTTGAATCTGTGCCCTCTTGTTTGTAAAGTTGCTGGTCTCAGGAATTCCATTTTGCCAATTTGGTTGATTCCTGTTAGTATTTTGTAAGTGGTAATCATATCACCTCTTTCTTCTATCTTCTAGTTTTGGCATGTTTAATGCCTCTATTCTTTCCTCATAACTCTTGCTTTTCAGTTTCAGAAGCATATTGTAGCATGCCATGGCACCTTTTCCAGTTTATCAATGTGCTTCTTGAAATTTGGGCACCATACAGCTGCTGCATACATACAGTATTCTAATTTTGGTCTCACAGAAGTCATGAACAGTTTCTGTAGTATTTCACTATCCATATAATTAAAAGCAAGTCTGAAGCTGGAAAGGGACGCATACGCTCATCTCACAATGTTCTCTGTGTGTTCCTCTGGCGACAGCTTGCTATCAAAAACCACCCCTAGGCCTTGTTCTTTATTAGAGTTCTGTAATTCCTTTCAACATAATTTGTAATTTGTGTGTGGTCTCTCTTCTCCAATTCCACATTCCATAACATGGCAATTATTCCCATTGAATTCCATATGCCACTTGATGCTCCAAACACTTATTTTACCAGATTGATTTGAAGGGCTCTTCAATCGTCTGTGTCTCCTTCTTTCCCAGTATCTTAGCATCATTCGCAAACATGTTCATATAATTCTGTATTCCTTCTTGTTGATTGTTTATGTAGAAGATGAACATTACTGGTGCAGAAATTGATCCCTGTGGTACTCCACTAATAGCACTTCTCCAGTCAGATACATGGTCTCTGATCACCACCCTCATCTGTCTGTCAGTTTGAAAATATATCATCCATGTCGGAAGTCTCTCTCTCACCCTTCCAGCATGTAACTTATCCCTAGGCATTTACTGGCGAGACCATTGCGCTACCACTTCGGCTGGATGGTAGAGTGACGGTCTTGCTTCATGCAGGTCGGAGTTCAATTCCCAACCGACAAAGTAGTTGGGCACCATTTCTTTCCCTCATCCCATCCCAAATCCTTATCCTGATTCCTTCCAAGTGCTATTTAGTTGTAAAGGCTTGGCGCTTACCCCTGATAATTTCCTCCTTTCCCTCCTGTGGTGCTGCCATCTAGTGGAGGACAGCGGTTACACGGGGTTGTATGACATAATTACTACATAGATTGTTTACCAAGTCATTTGGTTTATCATTTGTTTATTTCATGTTGAACTTGCATGTGTCTGTTTTGCATTGCTTACTTTTTGGGGGATGGGTTGATGCTTTGGCGAGTGTGAGAAGCTCCTGTTCTATATGCCTCTTTAATGGGGCTGGGTTTTGGCCTCTGGTCCTCGGTAGGGTTTTAATGACCACAAGAGACAAACAGATGTACAGATGTACAGATATTTCAGTGCAGCTACCAACAGAGCCACCAAGGCCCACCCAAGAAAAAGGGGTTTCATTACATTCAGTGCTAGTTTCTGTGGGGAGCCCCTACAGCTTCCCAGAGGTGATATGTATGTATTAGACTGTGGCATCAGTTAATGGAGTTCTTGCCTACTGAGGACCATGAGCCAGAACCTGGCCCTCTTAGAGAGGCACGAAGAGTAATGGCATATGGAAACCCCCATGTGTTTGGAAACATTCCATGTCTGCCATCAACTGGGGTTTGGTACCCAGAAAGGTAGGCATAACAAAACAAACCCCACGTGGTAAAAACTTGCAACTTAAAACCAAACAGGGAGCCAGAACCCCCAAACTAAAACAAGCAAATAAGCAAACATCACTAACTCTGTCTCGCTGATCGTCCGCACAGCCCGCCACCCAAAGCTGGAGTTTTTGTTGCCACTGTTTGGCCTTGGGTTGGATGTGGTATCATTGCCCCCAGACCCTCTGCGCCGGCTGCTACAGCATTCAGTTCCTCGGCTGATGTGGACTGTGGTGGTAGTCAACTCTTGACCTCTGACTCTTGCAGTTCTGTGCCTTGTGGTGTATTTTGCTTTGTGTGGTGCTCAGGACAGGAGTAATTCATCAGTACAGGTACTGGGGTTGCATGCACTTAGGCCCACCTTCCCTAAGCGCCCTGTAAGTACTGCCCTTGAGTCTTGGGGTTATCTTCCACAGGGCGTTCAGGAACCGCTTCCATAGGGGTTCAGTTAATTGAACAGATTAATTGATTAATTCAGTACAGTTAATTACTGCTCGGCAATTGCCTACCCTTGGGGCCAACTGGAGTTTTGTTGCCACTGTTTGGCCTTGGGAGCCGGGAGCCGGTCGGCCGAGCAGACAGCACGCTGGACTTGTGATCCTGTGGTCCCGGGTTCGATCCCGGGCGCTGGCGAGAAACAATGGGCAGAGTTTCTTTCACCCTATGCCCCTGTTACCTAGCAGTAAAATAGGTACCTGGGTGTTAGTCAGCTGTCACGGGCTGCTTCCTGGGGGTGGAGGCCTGGTCGAGGATTGGGCCGTGGGGACACTAAAGCCCCGAAATCATCTCAGGGTAACCTCAAGATTGGGTAGGAAGTAATATCATTGCTGGTAGGGGCACAAGGTATTGTGCAGCTTGTCTCCTATTCTACACAGTGGCTGGTTCTGTTCCTCCTGGGGACGTTGTGCTGTCACTGGGTTTTATTTTCTTTTTGTTTAATTTGCTTGGTGGGGGTCTGCTCCCTTGGTTTATACCCTTCTGTTGTATTGGTGGTCCTCCGCTAGGCTAGGCCCCCGTGCTTGTACAAGTCGCAGGGGTTCAGGTTTTAAGCAGTTCTCTTGGTAGTTTGGGCCCAACTGGATAGCAATACTGTGCCTGGGCTTTCCTTAGCATGTTAGCCTAATGGCTCTGGTAAACCCCATTATGGCTCTTTAGACCTATGGATGCATCTTCTGGGTTTCAACTTGCCAAGTGCGAGTTTGATGGTTGCTCTGTCCCCCTTGTCTCAGGGTGACACTCGCCAAATTTGACTCCGTCATGCTGCCTGTTTGGTCAATGACACCTTTGACCCGGAGTCTTGCTCCTTGCAAGCTCCAGATTTCGCAGTCTTCTGATTTTGGTATTCGGGTACAGGCGGTTTCGGTGTTGCATGCTCGATATCGGTTGCTGCAGCGTGCTAGGTTAGATGCTCACCCGGATGCCCCAGGGCTGCCCCGCTTGGGTTATAGGGACCTTGACTTGGGGGCATTAGTTGCATCGACTTTAGTTTTGTCTGTGGTCCCATGTCCTTCTCATGTTGGTGTTGTTCGTCCTGCTCTAACCTGCCTCCCTCCCCCCTCATCCCCCTGTTCCCGGCTCCCAAACGTTTGAGAGTTTTGGTTTCGGAGTTAGGTCGGAGCCTAGATGGTAGTGAGACTTTGGTGGCCTCGAGGACTGCCCCTTCTGGGTTGGCTATGGGGGCATTTGAGCCTGCTCCTCCTACCTTCCGGGTCTTGCCAGTGGACCCCTTTCTTAGCTTTTCCTCCGCAATCTGCCTTTAGGGGCAGAGGGTGTGGAGGATGGCTCCACCCTGGGTCCTGGCATCTTGGATGATCCCGGGGCTGGGGAGGAGTTGACTTGAGGGGGGTGGGGGGGGGGCTTGGGCTCTGTTTGACCCCGCTTGGGTGTTGGTACCCTTGTCGCAAGGCTTATTGTTGCAGAAGGGGGGGGGGTGTTTTCGTACCCCTCCTTCCCTGTACGAGTATGATTTGGGTTCGGCTTCTTCCTGGGTTCAGGTTCCAGGTTCCCCTGGGTTCTTCGGTTCCTTTTTTCCGGTTTTCGGCTTTTCAAATCCCACCTAGGGAGGTTTGGGAGGCCATCATTGCTTACCTCCTGCGAGACCTGGATTACGCCTCGGTGATGGATCCATCTTCTTTTTTATTTCGATTCGACCTTTCCCATTTAGGTGCATTACGAGGTACCCGAGTCTTCTTGGGTAACAGACTGTCCTTTCTTTTCGTTGAGAGCATGGATTGGATTGGGTAACAGACTGTCCTTTCTTTTCGTTGAGAGCATGGATTGGGTTTTGTCGGACACGCACGCTTGATTGGTGGGAGACTTCCATTGTGGTACGGGTTTACCTGGAGGGCAGGTTTGAGCGCGCCTTATTGGGTGCTTGTTCGCCCCTGTCCTTTCTCGGGATGATGGCATTGTGCAGCTACACATGCAGGTTCCCTCCCTTTCAGCTGCTTTGGTAGCTGAGGATGTGTGCCCGTGGGCATTTGGCCTCAGTCTTGCATTTCTTTTCCCTTCTCGAGCCGTCCTTGAACTGGCTTGGAGAAGATGTCAAGGTGCTGAGTGCTGGGTCTTCGTCCGGTGCACTTGCCTCGGCGGCTAGGTGGGGGGGCGATCAGCTGCCTTGTTGAAGTTGTTTGAGGGAATTCTCAAAGAGGCGGTGTATGTATTTTGCTTCTCACCTCGCGTGCCGACAGGCTGTGCTTGCTCTCTCTTTGAAATCTGCTTGGGCTCTGGCTCTTAATTTTTCATCACCCTTTTGTCCGTTGCTGTTTGCAGAGTCTGCTGTCACGCAGTTTCTGCAGGCAGCTTCGTCTAGTTGTCATCCCATGTCAGACTTATTGGTTCTCCGGGGAAGACCGTGGTAGGCCTTCCTGGAAGGATCGTGCCAAGATTTGAGGATCCTCTCATTGTGGTGGGCCAGTGTTGCCAATTTCAGAGCCAGCGCTTTCTTCTGAGCTGGTGGCATCTGGTCGGCATAGTGATTGCTCTGCTCGTCGATGGGCTTCTCGTACAGGGTGTCGCCCTGTTGATGGGGCAATGTGGGGGAGGTTCGTGCTGTTTGCTCACACCTGATCCCACGATTTGTAGGCGTTTCAGGTCGTCTTTTCCAGCCTGTGGTGGTATTGGGTGGCTCCTCCTCCTTGGAGGGATTCGGGGCTAGCAGGGCAGGCCTCTTTCCCTGTGCTCCGTGGGTCATTTCGAAGTGGGTGAGCTTGGACTTAGTCAAAACGACCATGTCCCTCAGGTGGGTTTCCCGCTTGTTTCCAGATCTGAGGTTCATTCTGGACTTGTCCCTGAACCCCTGGATCTTTTGCCCCTCTTTTCAGATGACGACTCTATCCCAGATCCGGCTTCTCTTGGAGCAGGATGCTTGGATGATGTCTCAGGACCTCTGGGACATGTATTGGAAGTCCTGATTTATCCGGGGTTCAGGGACTGGTTAGGTTTTGTGGTGGGACGGCAAGCTTTCACTTTCGTTGCCTTCCATTTGGCCAGAGTCCTGCGCTTCACATACTGTATTCACTCATCTTACCCGGGTCGTGGTGGCCCGTCTGCATCTGTTCAAGGTTTGGGTTCTGGTCTACCTCAACAACTGGCTGGTGTGGGCTCCCAACCAGTCCGTGTGTCTGCTTGCCAGGGGTGTGGTTCTTTTCCAGCTCGCCAGGTTTGGATTCCTGGTGAACTAAAGGAAGTACCATCTGGTTCCATCCCGGGTTCAGACTTGGCTGGATTTTGTGTGACACTCTCGGACCACTTCCTTATCTCTCCCTCTGGAGTTGTTGCTGTTGCTGCAGTCCCACCATCGCCTGTTTCGGGAGGGCTCCCGGGTCACTCATTGGTTGCGTGAACAGCTATGTGGGAGTCTGAACTTCGCCATGCTTGTTTACCCACAGGATCGGTTGGCTCTGGATGTACGGGGCCCCAGAGGTGGACCTCTTCTCGTCGGCATAGTCGAGGCGTCTTTCCATGTATGTGACACCCTTCCCCCGACTGCGAGGCCATCGCAGTAGATGCTTATTGGCAGGACTGGTCGAGGTGGATTTACCAGTACCTCTTCCCCCACCCCCAAATTCTGCTAATGCTTCGGGTTCTGACTCGGCTTGAGTTCTATTGGGACAGGGTTCTCCTTCTGGGCCCCATGGTGCCCGGCCCAGCCAAGGTTTCAGGCACTACTTGTTCGGTGTCCAAACCCAGTGCATTTTCCACAGCTCTGCCACTTTCAGCAGATCCAGCCAGTGGGGTACCTTACTGTTCACTCTACTCTTCCGTGCTTCGTGTCTGCAGTTTCTGGCGCAGGTGTATCATCATCTGTATGGTGACCAGGTGGCTTCTCATATGGTGTCCCACTTGCATTCTTCTTCTCGGCAACAATATGAAGTCTCTTGGCAGTCTTTTTGCCTCTTCTTTCTTGGCTCTTTTGGAACAAGCATCTCGTGCCGAATACTGTCGCCTCGTATCGTGCTGCGCTGGTGGAGCCGCTCCAGCTTATGTTTGGGGTGGATGTCACTTCGGTTCCGTTTCGCAAGCTTTCTCGTGCCTTTTTCCACCTCCAGTGCCGCCTGAGCCTTCCTGGTCTTTGGTCCGGGTGCTCTCCTTTCTGTCTTCCCCCTTGGTTTGTGGTGGTCCCTTCGGTCAAGGACTGTTTTCAGAAAGCTTTGTTCTTGTTGGCTTTGGCTTCTGGGGTCGGGTCGGGGAGCTTTATGTTTCCTCCAGCACTGAGGCTTTTGCTCTTTTGGTCCAGGTGGACGTTTTGTTCGTTTGTAGCTGTCTCCTTTTTTCTGGCGAAGAATGAGACAGTGGGTTATTGACCGTGGGTTATTGATGCTTGGTTGATCATGCCAGGGGGTGCATCATGTTTTGTCCCCATTGCAGCTTTACACCGTTACCTTCGTGTCTCGACTTCTGTGTCTGGTAACGCATTTTGCTTTGGCCGCGTATCTCTTGTTCTCTGCTCCAGGGCTCGGGTCTCTCAGGTCGTCCACAGGGTTATCAAGTCTAGCCAGCCTGCGGTCTACCCTTGTGGCCATGATGTTCATAAGTTCGCAGCTTTAGCTGCTGTGTTTGGCAATATGTCTTGGGCGGATATTCGGGCAGGGGGTTTTTGGAGATCAAACAGGGTCCTGGCTGCCCGATATCTAGTTAATGTGCCAGGGCCTCGGCAGTCTTGTGTCACCTTGAGTCAGCAGTTGCAGCCAGTTGTCTCATCTTCGTTTTGAGTTGTGCAGTGCAGTTGCTTCCCAGGTAAGTCCCTTTATTCTTTCTCTATGGGTAGTTAGCTCCAGGGAGCCAATGCGGCTTCCCCACAGAAAACCAGCGTTGAATGTAATGAAATGCCATTTTCTGGGTAGAGCCCCAGAGGCTTTCTGGCACCCTCCCTCCCTCCTTCCACCCCGGTTGGCAGGTTTAGCATGCGGTGTGATGACATGTTGCTTTTTAGCTTGTTTTTCTTTTGGTGGGGTTTCTTGCCTCTGTTCGGTCACAGGATGCAGTATTTCTACCAGATGAGGTCTGTTTTGAAGCACCTACTTTTCTGGGTGCTCAACCTTGGTCGATGACAGACATGAATACTTTCATACAAGCGAGTTTCATAGGCTATAACACCCTTTGACTCTCTAGGAAAACTATGTTCTGGCTAGTGGTTCCCAGTAGGCATGACAACTCCATATGACTGAAGCCCTGTACTAATATTAGCTAATATCAATCCAGTAGCTCCAGGGAGCTGATGGGACTCTACCCAGAAAATGGTGTTTCATTACATTCAATGCTGGTCTTTTTTTTTTTTTTGAGGGGGGAATTCTGTCTATTTGCCAGATATTCTCTGATATTTATGCACTTTTTCACTGTGATATTGATTGTTTATTCTTCCCAAATTTTAAAAACACTGGAGCTTCTCAGCCCTCATCCCTCCTACAACAACAACAACTTGCATTCATTTCTTTGGTTCATTCATATAACCATATTTCCTACCAATTCTTGTTATTTGTTCACTCTTAATCCTTACTCCATTACACTCTTATCTTATGGCGATTTTGAGGATCAATGTCCCCTTTAGTCTGGCTTTTGTCCGTCTTCTGGGCCCTCCTTTCCTTCTACCTTCAAATTTGCTTGAATACATGGGTCTTACCACTAATGTTATCTTTTTGTTCATTATGACCCAAATATCTCATGAAATTCTCCTCGGTTATTGATTATTAAAGTTATTGATTATTGCTCTGTATATCTTTCCATGACATATTGTTTTCGATTATTCCTATTACAGTATATGTAATATGCTGAAAGTGTTGATAGTTATTTGAATATATTTACTTCGTTTTAATTAAAAAGTGTAATAAAAATTGAGGAAAGAGAACAGCTTGAATAATAATTTAGAGCATCTTTTAAATTGGTAGATGCAAGCATGCCCAAACTGTAGGAAGCCTCTTCCTCGCTGTTCACTTTGTCTGGTGCACATGGGCACGCCCTCTGGCTGGGGAAGCTCTGTGCATAAAAATTCATGTGGAGAAGAAGGTGTAGATGGTGGTACTCCTACATCGGATACTGCTGTGAGGAAGCGTAAACTAAGCAACTTCACGTCGTGGTTTACCTGGTGCCAGACTTGTAGGCATGGTGGACATGCACATCATTTGTTGGAATGGTTCAAGTAAGTGTATGACATGTTTAGAGTAATTTAATTAAGCAAACGGTCATTGTAGGTTAACAAGGTCACATAATTAGGGATTTTAATAAAGCACTTAAATATTCATATCTTAAAAAAAAAATTATAACCTCTATAATGTAACTCTTGCAATTCATTTGTCTTGTAAACAAATTTATTTTATTCCATGAACTTTGATGCTTTATAATATTACAGTATCATATTTAATATAATTAAATTTGTTTTTAATATTTGGTATCAATTAGAGGAATACCATTTTCACTTGATTATTTTTGTTTCATGCAATATTTAGAGTAAGCTATTGTGTATTAGCTTAAAATTGTTAATACCTATAACAGAATGTCTGTTTGCCTGTCTTTCCAAACTTAAAGGCCAGACACTTGGTCCTAATCACCCAAATTGGCAGAGATAATGGTCTGGGGTCCGGGATGAACGTAGGCTGGTAGAGGTTGCTAGAATTCAAAAGGGAACAGCATGCCAGGGTCAAATTCAGACCCCATGACAATTTTTGGCACTGCCTGCTGGCTACACAGCTAAATATTTTAATATTTTCAAAACAAAACTTAAAAAAAACAAAAGTTTTTTTTTAGTAATTTTATATATATATATATATATATATATATATATATATATATATATATATATATATATATATATATATATATATATATATATATATATATATAATATATATATTCTGGTTCTGGTTATATATATATATATAATATATATATATATATATATATATATATATATATATATATATATATATATATATATATATATATATATATATATATATATATATATATATATATATATATATATATATATATATATATATATATATATATATATATATATATATATATATATATATATTAATCTCATTATTCTCTGATTTGATAAAAACTAGCACAAATTTCCTGCTACCCATAACTTGCCCGTACTCACAGAAAATAGACAATCCTCTCATAGCTTCCAAGGTTTCTCAAGCCACGCTTCAGACTGATAGTAAAGTGGTAACTATTCTTCTAGTATTTCACACCACCATTGTCTTAATTATACACAGTACATTATGTTTTCTGTTTGGAGCCCCTATGGCTCCCCAGAGCTTACCAGGCTGATATGTATGTATTAGATTATGTCATTTTCATATATGTATGTATTGGGCCATATGTATTCAAACGGTAGGCAAAAGAACTCCAATCGACTGATGTCACAGTCTAATACAGTACCGTACATACATATCAGCTCGGTAAGCTCCAGGAAGCTTCCGGGGCTCACCCAGAAAATAGTATTTCATTACATTTAATGCTAGTTTTCTGGAGGGGAGCCCCGTCGGCCCCCGGAGCTATACCAGGCTGATGTGCTAATGTCAGACTTTGGCATTAGTCATGTGTATGGAGTTCTAGGGCCTACCGTGGACCATGGCCAGAACCTGGACCCCTCAGAGAGGCAAGGGGAGCAATGGCCTATAGAAACCCCTGTGTGGTAATTACCTAAGTGATAATTACCCAAGTGTAGTTACAGGATGAGAGCTACGCTCGTGGTGTCCCGTCTTCCCAGCACTCTTTGTCATATAACGCTTTGAAACTACTGACGGTCTTGGCCTCCACCACCTTCTCACTTAACTTGTTCCAACCGTCTACCACTCTATTTGCGAAGGTGAATTTTCTTATATTTCTTCGGCATCTGTGTTTAGCTAGTTTAAATCTATGGCCTCTTGTTCTTGAAGTTCCAGGTCTCAGGAAGTCTTCCCTGTCGATTTTATCAATTCCTGTTACTATTTTGTACGTAGTGATCATATCACCTCTTTTTCTTCTGTCTTCTAGTTTTGGCATATTTAATGCTTCTAACCTCTCCTCGTAGCTCTTGCCCTTCAGTTCTGGGAGCCACTTAGTAGCATGTCTTTGCACCTTTTCCAGTTTGTTGATGTGCTTCTTAAGATATGGGCACCACACAACAGCTGCATATTCTAGCTTTGGCCTAACAAAAGTCATGAACAATTTCTTTAGTATATCGCCATCCATGTATTTAAATGCAATTCTGAAGTTAGAAAGCATTGCATAGGCTCCTTGCACAATATTCTTAATGTGGTCCTCAGGTGATAGTTTTCTATCTAGAACCACTCCTAGATCTCTTTCTTTATCAGAATTCTTTAAAGATTTCTCACATAATATATAGGTTGTGTGGGGTCTATGTTCTCCTATTCCACATTCCATAACAAGACATTTATTAACATTGAATTCCATTTGCCAAGTGGTGCTCCATATACTTATTTTGTCCAGGTCTTCTTGAAGGGCATGACAATCATCTAAATTTCTTATCCTTCCTATTATCTTAGCATCATCAGCAAACATGTTCATATAATTCTGTATACCAACTGGTAGATCATTTATGTACACAATAAACATCACTGATGCAAGAACTGAACCCTGTGGTACTCCACTTGTGACATTTCTCCATTCCGATACATTGCCTCTGATTACTGCCCTCATTTTTCTATCAGTCAGAAAATTTTTCATCCATGATAGAAGCTTACCTGTCACCCCTCCAATATTTTCCAGTTTCCAGAACAACCTCTTATGTGGAACTCTGTCGAAAGCCTTTTTTAGGTCCAGATAGATGCAGTCAACCCAGCCATCTCTTTCCTGTAATATCTCTGTGGCCCGATCATAGAAACTGAGTAAATTCGATACACAGGATCTTCCTGATCGAAAACCATACTGTCTGTCTGATATTATATCATTTCTCTCCAGGTGTTCTACCCATTTAGTTTTGATTAGCTTTTCCAATACTTTCACTATTACACTTGTCAATGATACAGGTCTATAATTGAGGGGGTCTTCCCTGCTGCCACTTTTGTAGATTGGAACTATGTTAGCCTGTTTCCACACGTCTGCTACGATTCCTGTACACAGGGATGCCTGAAAGATCAGGTGAAGTGGAATGCTGAGCTCAGATGCACATTCTCTCAGAACCCATGGTGAAACGCCATCTGGGCCAGCTGCTTTGTTCCTCCCGAGCTCCTTTAGCATATTTTCCACTTCATCTCTAGACACCTCTATCCGCTCTATGTTATTCTCTGGAATTCTTATTGTGTCTGGTTCTCTGAAGATTTCATTTTGTACAAACACACTTTGGAACTTTTCATTTAATGTTTCACACATTTCCTTTTCATTTTCCGTGAATCTGTTTCCCATTTCCAACCTCTGGATATTATCCTTTACCTGCAATTTGTTGTTTATGAATTTGTAGAATAGGCCCGGTTCTGTTTTACATTTATCTGCTATCCCTTTTTCAAAATTTCTTTCTGCCTCTCTCCTTACTGCTGTATAATTGTTTCTCGCATCTTTGTATCGCTGGTATGTTTGGGGGTTTGGCCTCTTCCTATACTGATTCCATTTTTGTGTCTTTTGGTCTCTTGCCCTCTCACAATTTCTGTCGAACCAATCCTGTTTTCTGGTCCTGCATCTCTTTTTGGTATGAATGTTTGTGTGCCTTCCTCGTATAGTTTTAAAAATTTGGCATACATTTCATTTACTTCCCTGCCTAGCAACAATTCTGTCCAATTACACTCATTAAAAAAATTTCGAAGTTCCCCATAGTTGCCTCTCTTTAAATCGAGTTTATCAACTGTTTCAATGTCCCCATTTTCTTCTAGATGATATCTTAAAGCATATTTAATGTCTAACAGGACGTGATCACTCTTTCCCAAGGGAGGAAGGTACTGGATGTCAAAAATCTCTTCTTCTTTCCTGGTGAATACTAGATCCAGTACTGACGGTATATCTCCTTCCCTCATTCTTGTGGCTTGCTTTATGAGTTGATACAAGAATGTCTCCAGAATGAGGTTCACAAATCTGCATGTCCAAAAGTCCTCCGTTCTTGCTTCATAGGCCTCCCAGTCTATTGCTTTAAAGTTGAAGTCCCCCAGTATCAACAGTCGTGATTTATCTTTATCTGCTTGTACAATAATATCTCTCATGACCATTATGAGGCCCTCTCGTTTGTCATCCAGTTCTTCCTTTGTCCACGTGTTGCTTGCTGGTGGGCTGTAGGTATTTACAATTATCAGGTTATCATCCTGATTCCAGACCTGCAATGCCATTATGTCAATATCTCGAGGGTTTTCAAATATTAACTCTTTTACCTTCAGGTGTTTTTTCACCAGTACAGCCACTCCTCCTCCCTTCCTAGTTTTCCTGTCACGTCTCCAAACTGAGTAGCCTCTTGGGAATATGACTTCATTTATTATATTTCCTTCAAGTTTCGTTTCTGATAATGCAACAATATCTGGGACCCTAAGCTGGATTATATCTTGCAACTCCAAAGTTTTTGACCTCACTCCATCTATGTTGGTATATACAATTTTCAGGAACATGTTCCCTTTTCCTTTGCTCTTTACTCCCCCTTCCACTACTGATCTTGTTGCTTTGTTTTTATGTACCATTTCACAAGCTTTCCAGTCCCTGTCACTTTGTAAAAAAAAGAATTTCTGTCTTCTTCATTTCTATCCCCATTTAGCCGTTTTGCCTCACTTAAGTTCATTTTCAGCTTTTCTCTGTCTTCCTTGGAGAGGTCTTGTCTTATTGACCAAGATTTGCCAACCTCATCACTCTGCAGTTTCCTGGCATTTCTTAGCACTTCCATCATGTTTTTCACTCCATTAAAGGTCACCCTTAAGGGGCGGTTCTTTTCTTTCTCATATTTTCCTATTCTTCTAAAATCACTGACATTTTCCTTTGAGCCTTCTCCTAAACCTACTATTTTCTCTATGATTTTCATCTCTTCTGCCGCTCGGTCCACCCTAGATGAAATTTCCTTCTCTAAACATCCAAAAATGATTATGGACTTAGTTCTATCTGCAGTGTTTTGTACCAGTTTACTGTTGGTAACCAGTTCTTTCCTAATTGCTTGCCTAATTTCTGCTTCTTGTTGGTCATTTCTGGTTTTGACTTCCGAACACACTTCTTTGATAG